AAGTGCGAAGTCCCGCACCTGGGAAGGAATAACCCTAGGCACCAGGAAATGCTGGGGACCACCCAGCTGGAAAACAGCTTGGCAGAAAAGGACCTGGGGTCCTGTTGGACATCAAGTTGAACATGAACCAGCAATGTGCCCTTGCAGCAAAGGATGCTAACAGTATCCTGGGCTGCCTTAGGACGAGTGTTGCCAGCAGGTCGAGGGAGGTGATCTGCTCACCACTGGTGAGGCCACACCTGGAGTGGTGTGTCCAGTTCTGGGCTCCCCAGTACAAGAGAGACAGGGACAGAGTGGAGAGACCCCAGAGAAGGGTCACAAAAATTATTAAGGGACTGAAGCATCTCTTCTTATGAGGGAAGGCTGAGAATGCTGGGACTGTTCAGCCTGGAGAAGAGAAGGCTCGGGGGGGCCTTGTCAATGTGTATAAATACCTGGAGGGAGGGTGCAAAGAAGATGGAGGCAGGGTCTTCTCAGTGGTGCCCAGCGACAGGACCAGAGGCAATGGACACAAACTGAAACACAGGAGGTTCCCTCTGAACATCAGGAAACACTTTTTTACTGTGAGGGTGACTGAGCACTGGCCCAGCTGCCCAGAGAGGTTGTGGAGTCTCCATCCTTGGAGACAGTCAAAAGCCATCTGGACACGGTCCTGGGCTGCTGGCCCAGAGAGCACTGCTTCATCACTGGGTTGGACCAGATGACCTTCAGAGGTCCCTTCCAACCTCAGCCACAGTGATTCTGTGAAAGGGAAGAAAGCAGTATGTTTGAGAAGGAACATAGGAAGCACCTGTTAATATTCTGATCCCAGGAAAACAGGAGCATGATGAAGAACATTTCAAACTAGGGGACATCAGGCTGCCAAAGCCTCAGTGCCCTAGAAGTCAGGCCGGTGAGAGCAGTCTAGCCAGAGGTCACAAAGCAGTAGAGGAAAGCAGCAGACAGCCACGAAGGAGCACACACAGACTGCTTCCAGGTTACCTGCCATCAAATCACGAATGCTGGACACAAATGGAAGCAGTACAGCTTGGTCCACTCTGGCTCAAGGGATAGTTTCCTATAGAAGCAGGCTCACCTACTCATATATCCGACACTTTTCCACATTGTCCCAAGCTCCCAAGAGCCCAGAGAGACTTCTGGCAGCTCTCTGCCTCATCCACCCATCCATGCCTAAGGATGGCTGGAGTCCAGGAGGCAAGATGAAGTTACATCTCCCCCAGCCAGGGGAACACAGGCATCCCTAGCCTCTCCCTGGGCCTTGCGCAGAGCAGGCAATGCTCAGCAGGTTGCTGCTGACATCATCCAGCCAGCGGTTGCCACAGTAACCACGGATGAAGGATACGAGGTTCCTGGGGCAACGGAGTGACTGCCACCTGCCTGGGTGTTGTCTCTATTGCACGGCAGGAAAGGACGATGCAATTTTCTGAAGGTGAGAAAAATACCCTTCCCTACGCTACACCAAGCCAGGCTTCCCACCCGCTCCACCCTTCCACGCGCCGCTGCAGCTCCACTCTCCACAGCTCTGTGCTCCCTGGCAACTGCACTGCTTCCTTGAACACTCAACCCAAGAAGAAAAACTGCTGTAGACAAGAAGAAATCAGCTTACCCAGGCAGGAGCCATCACTTTTTTCAGTTTCAACAGCAGATGTGCTCTGCAGGCCCACCAGACCCACCCTAGAAGGAACCAAGGCCTGACCCCCCTGAGGATCACAGACCACTTAGTGTCAGTGGTTGAATGGATGTCTGAAGGGCTTGGATGGAGAACTCATCATCCCTCAGGGACTCTTCCAGTCTAGTTTTCTAGATCAGCTCATACTCACCTTCATTACATGCAGAAGTGATAGCAGCAGAGGGGAGCCACACAAAACCAAAGCCTGGCAGACCTGAGGCACCCCTATAGTGCTGCTCTCATCCCCATTCAAAGCAAGAGCAGCCTCATGGCTAGAGGCAGCACTTACCCCTCTGCTTCCACGGCTGGGGAGAGGAAGCATTTACAAGACACAGGTCACCCCTGCCTGGTGCCCTCAGCTACATGAAGAACCAAGCCAGGTAAAGCCTATTCCCCTTCTGCCCCAAGTCCACCTCTGCTTCATAGCAAAGCCCTCAGGGAGTGGTGCACCAGATCAAAAGAAGTTACGTGGTCATAAGAGATAGGGATCAGCCATCGCCTCTGCTGAGCTCTGTTTTCAGCAGCAGCCATGTGAAGAAGAAAACCGTCTCCACAGGCTCACCATTTGGGATCCAAAGGACAAACTCTAAGGTCTCTTTCGAGAGGGCCCAAATGCAGGCTGTTATGATCCAATTAGCTATTGGATTCCTTTCTGTTTCTCAGTGTGCCAGCCTGGAAGACCACAGCCTCCAAAATCCCATCTGCTGGCTGGGAGAGCTGGAAAGGACAGAGCAAACAAAGCAGAGAGCGCGAGAAGGACTCACCCTAGAAAAAAGGGGGCAGCTGCTGGGGATGTTCTTGTCATGCACGCTCTTGCTGTGCACCATCTCCTCTGTACACACACACACGTAACCAACTCAACCTATGCAATTTGCAGCCATACTGAGCGTTCCCAGCTGTGGCCCCGAGTCACAACAACAGCGCTCCAAGTTTCAGCCTGATACAAGAACTGAGAGCTCTGAAAAATGTCAGGGTCATTTAGTTAGCAGACACATTAGGTCTTGATCTTGCCTCTGCTTGACAATGCAAGTGTTGGTCAGGGGCTCATTAAGGGAGTACCAGTCCTCCGGTTGTCTAATTGGAGATGGGACAGACAAAAGGGAGAGACACACACATACAAAGGGGACCAATTAAGATGACAGGCAGTCTTTAGAGAGCTCTTTGGATGTTCTTTTGTTTTGGAGGGCTGTTTCCTAAGTTGTTTTGAAGGGGGAGGAAAAAAAAAAAAAGACACTCAGCACCTGGAATTATCCCAGGGCCAGTAAGTTGCATCTAGTTCTGCCACATGAGCCGACGCAGCACTAACTTACACCGAGGCTGGTTATTCAGCTGAACAGCTGATCTCTCAAGCAGGAGATGTGATGCTTGGTTACCACCAACAGCTGTTACAGAGGTTGAAGGATTTGGCTCCCGCATGAGGAAGGGAGGCAAAGTACCTTCAAGCGATTTCAAACGCTTTTCTTACCCAATCTGTTTTCTCCCTCCGGCCTGGGACCACAGCCAAACTCTAGGAGAGGATGTAGGGCATGGCAAGCTACAGTCCAGCGAAGGTCACCTCCAAGGGTACAGTGACACCCTGACACCCACCTCCCCTTCACTCAAAGCTCAGCGTAGTCGAGAACGGTCACAAAAAAACCTTATCTGGGCAGTTCTCAGCCCTCTGCAAGCTAGATGCGGGTGACAGATTGCACCTCACCCCTACCCCTAGCAGAGCAGGACACCGCTGCGTTGGGGTCCACCTGACCAGCAGCGGGCAGACCTCAGGCGCAGCAGAAGATGTCACCGTTCCCCAGCGAGGAATCGCCTATGCTGTGAAATGCAAAGGCAGCTGGCAAAGATTGCATCTCTCCCTGCTCCAATTCACCTGGAGGGACCCCGTGCCCTGCACCATAGCCCCACCGGCCACCTCCACCCTCGACTCCCGTTCTGAGTCCCCAGTAAGAGACAGCAGCAAACAGCAGCACAGCAGACACTGTCCACAAGACGTTGTCCACCCCTCTCTTGTCTACCCAGCAGCACCCCCTTGAGTGAGGAAAGGTCTTGCCACGTCCTCATCTTCGAGGGCTCAAAGATACCCAGGCTGTTCATCATCTTGATGGGACCACAGGCCAAAAAAGAGGAGGTCGTTCCCAGCCTACGCTCACACTTTATTATATACAGAGACACGGTGAGTGTAAGAACATCAACATGGGACATGGACAGTAAGGGAGGCCCAAAGGCACTGCCCCGTCCCCTTGGTGCAACCAGTCAGCATAGTTTATACAAATAATACAGTATTTGAACAATAAATAAGTCTGATAAATAAGATCAAATTAAAAAAAATGTAGAAAGACAAAGCAGCAAGGAATGATTTTGAGGGCTGTGACACATTCACAGCAGTGACTATACCACCAACACCTCACCTGCACACCAGCAGCTGGGGCACAGACCCCCATCAGCCCTTTTCTCTCACTGTACTATGGCAAAATCCACTGAGGAGGGGGAACCGGGGAGAGTCGTACAGTTCACTACTGCTGTGCTGTCGTGGTCTGGGAGCCCTCTCTCCTTCACAAGCCCCTTCGGAAAGGGTGCTTGAAAACAAGGTACAACTGCAGACCTGCTGTGCATAGTCACAGCTTGTTTGTTTGGCACAAAAAACCCACCCTCAAACCAGTCTCTTCCCTTTCTATAGTCCTTCAGATGGACACTGGCACAGTTATTAACTGAGTCAGGGCAGGGGGTGGTGGGGAAACATCTCTAAGGAACAGGGGAGAGAAGAGATGAGGCGATGCTCCCTGTCACTCGTGGGAAGCAGCCATGCTCTCATTCATCGCTCCAGAGCTCCGGCACACTGCTTCCACACGCCCTGGCACTGATGTAGACCGGGTGGGTGACCATGCCAGCCGGTCCCCTGGCGAGGACGGGGTTACCACAAGGACTGCAGGGATGCAGCTCAGAAGTTGAGAGTTACGAGTGAAGGGACAGCAGTAAAAGGCCGCCACTGGTTAGAGAAAACTAATAAGACAGCCGGTCCCTCATCCCTGCAGGGGGAGAGGCCACACACACTGATTTGACCCCCCGTCAGCCTCAAGGCCTCCAGCTCTCTCCCAGAGATGCTGGCAGCTGGCATATGAGGGAGAGAAGGACTCTGTCCATCACGGATAGCTCTCGGCAGAGACAACTTGAACCCTGCCCCCTCCTGCCACCCCCACCCCCCATTTTGCCCCCAAAGAAGGGCGTTGGAATGTGAAGAAACCAGGGATTGAGGGAATAGGGCAGTGAGAGAGAAATGGGAACAGATGGAGATCTGGGATGGGGAACCCGACCCCTCTGCCCTCACATGTACAGACTGCTACTCATCCAGGCCCGGTATCAAGTCTGCAATGCTGTCCACATAGTAATTGGGCACCAGATCCTTGGCAGCGGCGCTGTCGCTGGCCATGTAGGCCTGTGCCTCTTCTAGGCGGGAGACGCCCGTCAGCGTGAGGATGGTGGAGAGGCCGCAGTTCTTGCCGAAGAGGATATCTGTCTCCAGACGGTCTCCCACCATGAGGGTGCGGGACGGGTCAACGCCGAAACGCTCCACGATGCAATCAAACATGTAGGTGTTCGGCTTCCCCACCACCAGCGCCTTGCGGCCCGAAGCCGTTTCCACCGCGGCTGTGAGGCTGCCAGTCCCTGGAGGCGGGGGGGAAGGGGGGGAAAATGAAGGAGCTGTGGGGTTAGGG